AAACAACTTCTTCTGAATAACCGAGACAGCTAGGGTGATGATATTTGGCTAGTAACATTCTGGGATGAAGGGCTACCAAGTTTGTTCAAATGAATGACCATGACATATATTCAAGGTCACAGGGGTCAAATATGTTAAAAACCTTTAAACGACTTCTTAATAAGCAAAAGGCCAAGGGCAGCGCTGGACACAGCCGGTCGCCTGGTCGCCAAAGGCGACCAAAACCTTGATTGGGCGACTAGAAATTGTTGAAAGATGGATGTTACTGGCTCAAAAATAAATCTTTGGGCGAGTACATTATTATTCTCAAAATCGTAGTTTACTCCCATAAATTAACCACCCCAACTTCGGAATACCTATTTTCGGAAATCCTGTACTCTCAAGAATCTGGGTCACGCCGTTAAAACGTGCAAGTGCATCAGAATTGACACAGACGGTACCGGTCAATGTGGTGGACGCAAACAAGGGCTGGGGATTTTTAAAAAGAACCCCGTCAACGTCAACGGATACAAAGAAGCCGTCGAAGTACTATGGACTTGGTCCCAGATGATGGAGATGATGCAGACAGTGATGATGAATTCAGTAACAATGAGGACTAGGGGAATGAGGGGAGGGTTTTTAGAGTTATGTGTCGGGGGGTTTAATTGAAGAATAAAAACATCTATTTATATTGTTTTATTGGCATTTTTTATTGCTCAACACTGAAAATAATCTTAGTGAAATATTTGGGCTACCAATATTCATTTTGGGCCTGTGGAATATTTTTTGTACTCGCCCAAAAAATAATATGTACTGTCCTGCACTGAAGGGTGATGATATTTGGCCATTAACATGCTGGGATGAAGGGCTACCAAGTTTGTTCAAGTGAATGACCTTCGCCTATATTCAAGGTCACAGTGGTCAATATATGTTTAAATCTTTGAATGATTTGTTCTGTATAACCAAACGTTACAGGGTGATGATATTTTGCTAGAAGCATGCTGGGTTGAATTGGAAGACTATAAACTGTTCAACCTAATGTCCTTGTTCTACATTCAAGGTCACGGGCGTCAAATGTTTAAATCTTTTAATAGGTTCTTATGAATCAAACACTGATATTCTGCCTGTAGTGTGAGATTAATACCAGGTGAGCGATTCAGGCCCATTGGGCCTCTTGTTATTTAAACTAGACTAAACTATGAAACTTGTGTTTGGAAAATATTGGATATGAAAATCATTATCTTACAAATCCAACTGAAATGCTGCAAGCGAATTCCGTGTAATTATTGTGTTTTTAGCTCACCTGCCCGAACTTTTCCTTTAAAACGCTACTTGTCCTGAACGGCCCAGTAGATTTTGACCAAATTTGGTCAGAAGCATCGTTGGGGGAAGGGGAACAAATTTGTACAAATGGTGGGTGTGGCCCCCCTGGGGGCTGAGGGGCGGGGCCCAATAGGGGAAATATAGCAAATTCTTTAAAATCCTTCTTCCTCTGACCCTTTTCCGTTTATCGGAAGTACCCATCAGGGAGTCAGAGGTTGATGGGAGTGACAGACGAGCTGCGCAGGATAGGGTGACCTCACCCTTGCACAACTGTCTGAAGGCCTCTGCAGCTTTGCAGTGTACACTGCTGGCCAATTTGGTTCTTACCAGGAGAGCCTCTGTGCTTAAAGGTAAGCCTATTGAGGAACCTTACCTTTCCAGGCTTTTGTCCTCTCCTTTCGAGGGTCCTTGGCTCTTCGGGGGTACCCTTCCTTCTATTCATAAGGAAGTTAAGGAGGACCCAGTAGCCTTGGCACTTTTGGTTTTAAAAGTGTCGGCTGCTGGTAAGGCTGGAACCCCTCGGGGTTCGGCATGGCCAAGAAGAAGGCTAAGTCGAGGCCTCGCCAGACTCGGCCTGTGGCTAAGGCTAAGACTACAAAGGGAAAGGGCAAGCAGAGTGTCAAACCCTCTGGGGGTAAGAATCAGTGTTCCTGACTTCTCCCCTCCTTCCACAACTCTTCCGTTTCAGTTCAGGCAAGTAGATCAGAGGTCTAATTTACCCGGTCTTACAATGGTCTTAGACAGCTCCATAGATGTTTCGGAAGGTCTTGGATTTCCTCAACCAGACCTTCCAGTAGGAGGATGACTGTCTGCTTTCCTTCCTCAATGAAAGGAGATTACTCAGGACAGTTGGGCATTGACAATAGTTGCGGAAGGATTGAGCATCCCATTGTTACGGATACCTCCGCTCACAGCAGAGCCAATCTTTTCCCCACCCCCGGGGGATCCAGAGAAGGCTCTAGCTGTCAGACGGGAAATTGCTACCCTAGTCGATAAGGGCGTAATCGAGGAGCTACCACGGCGCCAGTACTCTCCAGGCTTCTATTCCCAAATTTTTCTGGTGAAGAAGTCGGTTATAGATCTAAGTGCCTTCAATCGGTCGTGGACTCTCCCCACTTTCAGATGGAGACCCCGAGAGGCATTATTGCCACGGTCAAGGAGGGAATGTGGGCTACTTCAATAGACTTGAATGATGCCTACTTCCACATTCCCATCAGGAAGTCGGACAGAAAGTATCTGCGCTTCTCATGCGAGGGCAAGATATTCCAGTTCCGGGCTATGCCTTTTGGCCTTACCACAGCCCACATGGATTTTACCAAACTACTGCAGGTTGTGGTAGGTTTCCTGCACCAGCGGAGTATCAACATCCATATTTACTTCGACGACTCCCTCGTGGTTCATTCACTGAGGGAGTTCCTGGTGTAGGATACTCGACTAGTTCTGAGTCTTTTTTTAAGGTCAGGTTCATCCCCTCCGGAGAGAAGTCAGGACTGTCTCCCTCTCAGGATTTTGTGTTCCTAGGCTACCGGTTCAACGTAGCCAGGGGTATAGTCCTTCCAACTAAGGAGAAATTCATCAAGGCAAGGAGTCTGGTACTTCAGTTTATCCAGAGTTCTGCGGTACAGGTTCGTTGATACCTTAGTCTGCTGGGGTTTCTCAACTCACTAGCAGATGTAGTTCCTCTGGGTAGGCTGCACATCAGACCCCTGCAGATGTTTCTTCTCAGCCATTGGGTCCTGCGTCGCGGGATTGGGAGGCTTTCATTCCTCTCAGTCAGTCGGTCAAGAAATTCGCCCAATAGTGGACAGTTCGGTCTCATGTCCTGTGTGCCCTGGCCATTCGCATTTTGCTACCCTGCCAGGAATTGTGCCGAACCATTCAGGTCAAGCACCTTCCGGGCAGATTCAATGTCCTTGCAGACACCCTGTCAAGGCGTCTTCGGCTGGTTCTGATGGAGTGGCAGCTCGATCCATCCATATTCAGAGCAATATGTCTGGTTTGGGACAGGCCTCATGTAGATCTATTTGCCACAGCCTTGAACCATCATTTGCCAACGTTTGTGTCTCCCGTCCCAGATCCAGCAGCGTGGGGAGTAGATGCTCTGTCTCTGGACTGGAAGGGGTTGCATGCTTACGCCTTTCCCCCTTCAACTTGGTGGCCAAGGTCCTCCAGAAGTACAAGGAGCAGCCTTGCTCCCTACTTCTGGTGGCTCCCTTGTGGCCAAAGAAACCATGGTTCCCTCAGCTTTTGTCGGTGGTCTTGCGTAGAAGGGGTTTTCTTGACCGTTTACAGACTGTATCGCTAGTTCCATCAGGACTCTTCTCCGCCATAGTCTACCAGTCCAGGGATTTTATCCAAATTTGGCGGGGAGCATCCTTGGCCAAAGGGGACTTAATTTTGTATAAATGATGGGTGTGGCCCTATTGAGTCGCTGGGGGGCGTGGCTCAAAAGGGTAATGTGAGGTTCTTCAAAATCCTTCTTCCTCTGTGCAATTTAAGGGGATTTTATCCAAATTTGGCCTGGAGTATCCTTGGGCTAAGGCGACTAGATTTTTAGCTCACTTTGCCCTTTGGTGTGTTGTCCGTCCATCCGTCCGTAGGTCGTCCGTCTGTCATCCGTCCGTCCGTCTGTCGTCCGTCATGAACTTTTTACTTCTCAATAACCAAGATGCCCAGGCTAATGATATTTGGCCAGCAGCATGCTGGGATGAAGGGCTACCAAGTTTGTTCAAACAAATGACTTAACTCATATTCAAGGTCAAAGGGGTCAATTGTCTTAAAAACTTTTAAACGACTTCTTCTGTATAACCAAAAGGTCCAGGATGATGATATTTGGCCAAAGGGATGTTGGCATGAAGGGCTACGAAGTTAGTTCAAATAAATGACCTTCGTCCATACTCAAGGTCACAGGGGTCAACTGTCTTGAAAACCTTTAAACAACTTCTACCGTATAACCAAAAGGTCCAGGGTGAATATATTTGGCCAGAAGGTTGTTGGTATGAAGGGCTACCAAGTCTGTTCAAACAAATGACCTTCACTCATATTAAAGGTCACAGGGGTATATTGTCTAAAAAACCATTAATCAACTTCTATTGTATAACAAAAAGGTCCAGGGTGATGATATTTGGCCAGAAGGATTTTGGCATGAAGGGCTACAAAGTTTGTTCAAATTAATGACTTTTGCCATATTCAAGTTCACAGGGGTCAAATGTGTTTTAATCGTTTTAACAGGTTCTTCTGACAATGACAAGACAATGATATTTTGTCTGTAGATTTGTTTTTAGGTTTAAATCTTTCAAATCCTTTTTTCTCGATACCATTGGAGGGATTTTATCCAAAGAAGACTATATCTTGTATAGAAAGTAAAGGGGGTGACCCCTTTTGGTGCAGGGGAGGAGGGGGGGGCGGGGGACTGAAAAGAGGAATTTGAGGTTTAAAATCCTTCTCTTTATGTACCATTAATGGGATTTTATGGAATAAGACGAATTTCCCATGGTTGCTTTATTGTCCAGGTGATCGATACAGACCCTCTGGGCCTCTTGTTTTGAATGACTTTTGAGTCATGACACTGATATTTTGCCTGTAGCTTTATTTAAGTCCACTTTATATTTTAAGGCTATAATTAAGTGAGATTAATACCAGATGAACGATGCAGGTCCATTCAGCCTCTTGTTAATGTCTTCAATGTTTCCTTTCAGTGCATAGCAGCAGAACTGCAGAATACAAAACTCCAGAAACAAGCCTTAGAGAATGATTTAGCAGAACTTCAGAGGGTAAAGGAATCGGAAGTTCAAGAGTACAGTCAGCAGTTGTCTGCACTAGAAGCAGAAATCACTTATGTTCAGGAGTTTCAAGTGGATAGGGAGTGTCTGGAGCGAAACAACCAAAATATGTCTCTCGACTTGGAGAAGGAGAAAGGCCGAGTAGCAGGTAGGTGTAGATAAATGGCTGGTCCAGTACTGCCAACTTTACTATTTTCAATCAACGAAATGCTGTCCAGGAAATCGGGAAGGGTTGGATGATCTGACCCTTAGTGTGCTGGTAGTATTCAAGCTTGCTATAATTTGCAGTTGACGGTCAAAGCAGTCACACTTTGTTCCCATTAGACTATACAATTCTTTCCATTGGCCGTGCAACACTTGCAACCCCAGTTTCTACCACCAGTTAACACTGAAAGATAATATCTGCTCTTTTCCACTAAATCTATATGTGTCGTACTTGCATGAAAAGCCAAACAACCTCACATATTTCCTTGTTGTTGGGTAATTCATCGACCAGAAGTCCAACAAAATGTTCAAATTGTTTTTTTGAAAATTGATGAAGAACTGTTTGCAAAATATGTTCTGAATTAAAAGATGCTTTTTAATGTTAATAACAACACCCAAATGACAAACATCCATCATGCTTCTAGTCCTGAACCGCTTAGTGGATTTTAACTTAATTTGATTTGGAGTATCCTCAGCCAAGGAGACTTATTTTTGAATTTTTAGCTCACCTGCCCGAAGGGCAAGTGAGCTTATGCCATGGCGCAGCGTCCGTCGTCCGTCCGTCGTCCGTCCGTCAACTTTTGCTTTCAAACGCTACTTGTCCTGAACGGCCCAGTAGATTTTGACCAAATTTGGTCAGAAGCATCTTTTGGGAAAGGGGAACAAATTTTGTATAAATGGTGGGTGTGGCCCCCCTGGGGGCTGAGGGGCGGGGCCCAATAGGGAAAATATAGCAAATTCTTTTAAAATCCTTCTTCTTCTGTAGGAATGAAAATATTTGGTCCATATTTGGTGTGGATCATCCTTGGGTAAAGGGGAACCAATTTTGTATAAACGGTGGGTGTGGCCCCCTTTGGGGCTGAGGGGCGGGGCCCAATAGGGGAAATATAGCAAATTCTTTAAAATCCTTGTTCTTCTGTAGGAATGAAAGGATTTGTTCCACATTTGGTCTGAAGCATCCTTGGGTGAAGAGGAACCAATTTGTATAAACCGTGGGTCTGGCCCCCCAGGGGCCTTAGGGTTGGGCCAAATAGGGGAAGCATAGCAAATTATTCTTTAAAATCCTTCTTATTCTGTCGGAATGAAAGGATTTGGTCCATATTTGGTGTGGAGTATCCTTGGGTAAAGGGGAACAAATTTTGTATAAACAGTGGGTGTGGCGCCCCCTGGGACCTGAGGGGTGGACCGAATAGGGGAAATAAAGGTAAAACTTTTAAAATCCTTCTTCGACCATCGGGATTAAGGGATTTTATCCTAATTTGGTCTGGAGGATCCTATGGCCAAGGGGACTCAATTTTGTATAAGCAGTGGGTGTGGCCTCCAAGGGGGCAGAAGGACGGGGCCCAATATGGGAAATAGAGGTAAATCTTTAAAATCCTTCTTCTACCATAGGGATGAAGGGATTTCTTCCCAATTTTGTCTGGAGGATCTTGGGCAAAAGGGACTCAATTTTGTATAAACAGTGAGTGTGGCCCCCCTGGGGGCAGATTGGCAGGGCCCATTAGGGAAAATAACATAGCAAATTCTTCAAAAACCTTCTTCTTCCTTACGTATGACAGGATTTTGTCCAAATTTGGTATGAAGCATCCTTGGGTGAAGGGGAACCAATTTTGTATAAACGGTGTGTCTAACCCCCCTGGAAGCAGAGAGGCGGGGCCCAATTGGGGAATTATAGGTAAAACCTTTAAAATCCTCTAATCTACCATAGGGATTAAGGGATTTTATCCTAATTTAGTCTGGAGCATCCATGGGCCAAGGGGACTCAATTTTGTATAAGCAGTGGTTGTGGTCTCCCAGGGAGCAGAAGGGCGGGGCCCAGTGGGAGAAATAGAGGTAAAACCTTTAAAATCCTTCTCTGACCTTCGGGGTTAAGGGATTTTATCCTTATTTAGTCTGGAGCATCCTTGGGCCAAGGGGACTTTTTCTGTATAAACAGTGATTATGACCCCCCTAGGGGCATAGGGGTGGGGGGCTCTGTTTGAAGTTTGTTCTTGCTATTTCTCAAGTATTCGATGGATCTTTCTGAAATTTCATATGTACTTACAGCACCTACCATTGAGTGTTATATCTTTACTTCATACCAATTATTTTAAACACATTCAGGTGAGCGATCCAGGCCCTCTGGGCCTCTTGTTGTATAAATGATTGAGGATGTGGCCCCCCTGGGGACAGAGGGTTAAGTTAATCATTTAAAATTCTCCCTCTTCTGTACCAATGGAGTGATTGAACAAAATATAGTCTAGAAGATCATGGACCAAGAGGAATTCACTTTTGGGCCTAAAGGGGCAAATTGATCAATATCAAGCATATTTGGTTTGGAGAATTTTAAGATTCAAATTGTACCAGTTGAAAGGGCTGACCCCTACCTCTGAGGGGCGGGGCCAACAAAAACTGTTTTTCACTTGGATAAGATGGAGATCCCCACCCTCTAAGCATCAAAATATAAACACAATCATGATAAAAATATCGACTCTGGGGTCTGGCTCCACCCCTAGGGACTTGATTTTTCGTGCTTTAACTTTGAAATGGTTGAGATCCCAATCCCATAATCATATATACATGTGACGGGCATAAAGAGATAAAAACAGTCATTTTTAGCTCATCAGGTCTGATATGGTTATTTGTATACCATATATACCTGGATTATGTGCTTTGTATAAAAAATACAGTTTCAAATAATTTTGACTTTGTGTTGCCTAGCAACAGCCTTGTATTAAACCTATATCAAATCGCAAATAAAGCCTATTTTACAAATTATTATCCCACGCTTTCACCCAAACAGGGAATATTAATTTGGGTTTGTCTGTCTGTCTGTCTGTCACTTCATTTCCGTGCAATAACTACAGCAAATATTAACCGATTTTCTTAAAACTTAGTCATAGGGTTAAATGCCTTAAGGGCTCAGCCAAGTTCGATGACCACTTTCAGCGGACCCCATTTGGCAGAGTTATGGCCCCTTGAATAACGAAAAACATCATTTTCTGCCGCGCTTCATTTCCGTGTATTACCTTCAACAAATGTCAACCGATTTTCTTCAAACTTTGTCACAGGGTTAAATGCCTTAAGGGCTTAAGCAAGGACGAAGACCACTTTCAGCGGACCCCATTTGGCGGAGTTATGTCCCTTGAATAATGAAAAACGTCGTCATAAACCGTGCTTCATTTCAGTGCAATAACTAAAACAAATGTCAACCAATTTTCTTCAAACTTGGTCACAGGGTTAAAAATCCTTAAGGGCTCGGTAAATTTCGATGACCACTTTCATCGGACCCAATTTGGTAGAGTTATGCCCCCTTGAATAAAAACATAATTTTTTGCTGGGTTTTGTTTCTGTGCAATAACTACAACAAATGTTAACCGATTTTCTTCAAAATTTGTCACAGGATTAAATGCCTTAAGGGCTTAGCCACGTACGATGACCACTTTCAGCGAACCACATTTGGCGGAGTTATGTCCCCTTGAGTAATGAAAAACATCATTATCTGGTGCGTTTCTTTTCCATGAAATGACTACAACAAATGTTACCGAATTTTCTTCAAACTTAGTCACAGGGTTAAATGCCTTAATGGCCCGGCTAATTTCGATGACCAATTTCAGCGGGCCCCATTTTGCAGAGTTATGGCCCCTTGAATAACGAAAAACATAATTATCTGCTGGGTTCTGTTTCTGTGCAATAACTACAACAAATGTTAACCGATTTTCTTCAAACTGTGTCACAGGGTTAAATGCCTTAAGGGCTTGGCCAAGTATGACGACCACTTTCAGCGGACTTTATTTGGCGGAGTTATGGACCCTTGTATAACGAAAAACATCATTATCTGCCGTTTCTGTTCATTAACTCTCGCAAATATTATTTAATTGTCTTCAAACTTTGGGAGTAAAAGGGTTCAACGCATTAAGGGCTCGGCCATGTTTGACAACCACTTTAATATGACTCCATTTGGAAGAGTTATGGCCCCTTGATTAACAAAAAACATCATTATCTGCAGTTTCCGCTTTACAACTCTAGCAAATATTAGCAAAATTCCTTCAAACTTGATAACAAGGTTTGCGTTCCTCTGTCTTTCCACCTATCTCTGGCACTCTTTGGTTTTGCTGTGGTTATTGCTGTAGATATTGCTAAGATGTTTCAACCAAATTCCTTAAATATGTTAAAAACCTTTAAAACAACTTCTTCTCGATAACCGAGAGGCCTAGGGTGATGATATTTGGCCAGTAACATGCTTGGATGAAGGGCTACCAAGTTTGTTCAAACAAATGACCTTCACCCATTTTCTAGGTCACATGGGTCAAATTTGTTTAAAAATCTTTAAACAACTTCTTCTGAATACCCAAGAGGCATAGGGTGATGAATTTTGGCCAGCAACATGCTGTGATGAAGGGCTACAAAGTTTGTTCAAACAAATGACCTTCACTCGTTTTCAAGATCACAGGGGTCAAATTTGTTTAAAAAACTTTTAACAACTTCTTCTGAATACCCAAGAGGCATAGGGTGTTGAATTTTGGCCGGTATCATGCTGGGATGAAGGGCTACCACGTTTGTTTAAATAAATGACCTTGATTCATATTCAAGGTCACAGGGGTCAAATATGTTTAAAACCTTTTAACAACTTCTTCTGAATAAACGAGAGGCCTAGGGTGATGATATTTAGCCAGTAGTATGGTGGGATGAAGGGCTACCAGTTTTGTTCAAATAAATTGCCTTCATCCATTTTCAAGGTCACAGGGGTCAAATATGTTGAAATCTTTAAATAACTTCTTCTGAATAACCAAGAGGCATAGGGTGATGATATTTGGCCAGTAACATGGTGGGATGAAGGGCTACCAAGTTTGTTCAAATGAATGACCTTGACTTATATTCAAAGTCACAGATGACATATATGAATATTATTACTTTTTAACAGGTCACACAACATTCTATAAAAAAAATATCAATTCAGGCCGCAAGCGGCCTTTGTTAATTACTTTACCAACCATGAGAGGCTGTGGTACTGTCTTAAGTCTCACACACTGGAAAACCCAATGAAGGGAGATGAGTCCTGCGATGGGCTCTTTAGGGATTAAAACGCTACCACTGTGACAATTCTTTAATTATTTGATGGTGATCTCTACTACAGATTTGAATTGAACCTATATAGTACAATGTAAAACTCTGAGAACAAAATTTTGTTTCTTTAGGTTTGATGCTGACCAACACTGCATTAAAGGAGCACATCTCGCAGCTTGAAGATGCTCTGGCTGGGCGCGAGTCTGCACTCATTGACCTTCAGGCCCTGACCCGTGGGGAAGTTAAAGACCGAGAGATACGGGCAGCAGAACATGGCCGCTTGGTCCAGGAATTAGAAAAAAAACTAATGCAAGAGAAGGAATCACAAAGAGAGCTCAGGAAACAGGTAAAATTCAATCTATATACTGTCTCGTATCAGAAGGGGGCTCAAGACACTGGTAAAGTTAATCTCTATATACTGTCTCATAACAGAGGGGGGCTCAGGACACTGGTACAGTTAATCTCTATACTGTCTCATATCAGAAGGGGGCTCAGGATACTAATAAATTAAATCTCTATACTGTCTCGTATCAGATGGGGGCTCAGGACACTGGTAAATTCAATCTCTATATACTGTCTCATATCAGAAGGGGCTCAGGATACTAGTAAAGTTAATCTCTATACTATCTCGTATCAGAAGGGGGCTCAGGACACTGGTACAGGACACTGGTAAATTCAATCTCTATACTGTCTCATATCAGAAGGGGGCTCAGGACACTGGTAAAGTTAATCTCTATACTATCTCGTATCAGATGGGGGCTCAAGACACTGGTAAATTCAATCTCTATACTGTCTCGTATCAGAAGGGGGCTCAGGACACTGGTAAAGATAAACTCTATACTGTCTCGTATCAGATGTGGGCTCAGGACACTGGTAAAGTTAATCTCTATACTGTCTCATATCAAAAGGGGGCTCAGGACACTGGTAAAGTTAATCTCTATATATATACTGTCTCATCTCAGATGTGGGCTCAGGACACTGCTAAAGTCAATCTCTATACTGTCTCAAATGAATGACCTTCCCCCTTCAAATGAATGACCTTCCCCCATATTCAAGGTCATAGGGGTCAATTGTCTTTAAAACCTTTAAACAACATCTTTTGTATAACCAGAAGGTCCAGGGTGATGATATTTGGCCAGAAAAATAATGACATGGAGGGCTACCAAGTTTGTTCAAATGAATGACCTTCACTCATATTCAAGGCCACAGGGGTAATTGTCTTAAAAACCTTGAAACAACTTCTTCTGAATAACCAAAACGTCCAGGGTGATGATATTTGGTCAGAAGGATGTTAGGATAAAGGGCTACCAAGTTTGTTCAAAATGAATGATATTAGCCCATCTTCAATGTCACAGAGGTCAATTGTCTTAAAACCCTTGAAACAATTTCTTCTAAATAAACAACAGGACCAGGATGATGATATTTGGCTAGTAGCATGCAGCGATTAAGGGCTACTAAGTTTGTTCAAATAAGTGACCTTTGCGTGTATTCCAGGTCACAGAGGTCAAATATGTTGATTTTTTTAAATGACCTCGATGAATAACTAAATCATCCAGGGTGATTGCTTGTTCATTTGAATGACCTTGACACACTTTCAAGGTCACGTTTGGTCCATAGTGCATAAATCTTCTAAAAGTCATCTTCTCAATAGTGGGTGATATTTGGCAAGTTGCATTCTGGGATGAAGTGGTATAAAGTTTGTTCAACTTAATGTCCATGTTTGACTTTCAAGGTCACAGGGGTCAATGTGTTAAAATCGTTTAGCAGGTTCTTCTGAATGACGTAAAGTCAAGACACTGATATTTTACCTTAAGCTTTATTTAAGTCCACTTTTAAGGTTACAATTGTGAGATTAATACCAGGTGTGTGATGCAGGCCCATTGGGCCTCTGGTTCACAGATCATTCTAATGCTGCTAATGTTGATTGAGGAAGCTTTGTTGACACTGCATGTTTACTGTAATGTTGATTGAGGAAGCTTTGTTGACACTGCATGTTTACTGTAATGTTGATTGAGGAAGCTTTGTTGACACTGCATGTTTACTGTAATGTTGATTGAGGAAGCTTTGTTGACACTGCATGTTTACTGTAATGTTGATTGAGGAAGCTTTGTTGACACTGCATGTTTACTGTAATGTTGATTGAGGAAGCTTTGTTGACACTGCATGTTTACTGTAATGTTGATTGAGGAAGCTTTGTTGACACTGCATGTTTACTGTAATGTTGATTGAGGAAGCTTTGTTGACACTGCATGTTTACTGTAATGTTGATTGAGGAAGCTTTGTTGACACTGCATGTTTACTGAAATGTTGATGCATTTCAGAATGGCAATTTTAAACAAACTAACATTGGCAGAAAAGTTTGATTCAAAAGCATTTGTCAATTTGAAAATGATATATTTTGTAACTCTGTAACAACTTGAAATGTATTTATAATTTGCTTCTGCAATACAAATCATATACATGCTATTTACTATTGTGCCTAATTCAGTGACATAATTATTAGCTCACCTGCCATGGTGCAGCTTCCGTCATCCGTCCGTTCGTCCGTCATCCGTCTGGCAGGCGTCAACTTTTTAGGTTACCTGACCATAGGTCATGGTAACCTATTGTGATAGCCTTTTGTCCGTTGTCGTGCGTTCACTTTTCCTTGTGAACAAGATAACTTGAGTAAATTTTAACTGTTTAAAAAAACTTTGTATGCAGCCATATTAATAAGATCTCGGACGAGTTCGAAAATAGAAATTATTCGACAGTAACTTACAGAGTTATTGCCCTTTGTAATATTTTTATTATTGGACCTTGTGAACACGAGAACTTGAGTAAATGTTAACTGAGTTTGATGAAACTTTGTATGCAGCCATATATCAATAAGATCCCGGACGAGTTCGAAAATGGGAATTATTCGACCGTAACTTACAGAGTTATTGCCCTTTGTAATATTATTATTGGACCTTGTGAACACGATAACTTGAGTAAATGTTAACCAAGTTTGATGAAACTTTGTATGCAGCCATATATCAAAAAGATCTGGGATGAGTGTGAAAATGGGAATTATTGAACAGTAACTTACAGAGTTATTGCCCTTTGTAATAATATTATTATTGGACCTTGTGAACACGAGAACTTGAGTAAATGTTAACCGAGTTTGATGAAACTTTGTATGCAGCCATATATCAATAAGTTCCCGGACGAGTTTGATGAAACTTTGTATGCAGCCAATTATATCAATAAGTTCCCGGACAAGTTGGAAAATGGGAATTATTGGACAGTAACTTACAGAGTTATTGATTGCCCTTTGTAATAATATTATTATTGGACCTTGTGAACACAATAACTTGAGTAAATGTTAACCGAGTTTAATGAAACTTTGTATGCAGCCATATATCAATAAGATCTCGGATGAGTTCGAAAATAGAAATTATTCGACAGTAACTTACAGAGTTATTGCCCTTTGTAATATTTTTATTATTGGACCTTGTGAACAGGAGAACTTGAGTAAATGTTAACCAAGTTTGATGAAACTTTGTATGCAGCCATATATCAAAAAGATCTCGGACGAGTTTGAAAATGGGAATTATTGGACAGTAACTTACAGAGTTATTGCCCTTTGTAATATTATTATTGGACCTTGTGAACACGAGAACTTGAGTAAATGTTAACCGAGTTTGATGAAACTTTGTATGCAGCCATATATCAATAAGTTCCCGGACAAGTTGGAAAATGGGAATTATTGGACAGTAACTTACAGAGTTATTGATTGCCCTTTGTAATGATATTATTATTGGACCTTGTGAACACAATAACTTGACTAAATGTTAACGGAGTTTGATGAAACTTTGTATGCAGCCATATGTCAATAAGACAATATAATGTATAAGACGAAAAGTATGTATTGGCCCCTGGATGACAGTACTAATTTGAATCAGATGTCAGGTGATCGCTAAGGCCCATGGGCCTCTTGTAACTTTAAACAACTTCTTTTCAGTAACCAAAAGGCCTAGGATGATGATATTTGGCCAGTAGCATTCTGGAATCAAGGGCTACCAAGTTTGTTCAAATGAATGACCTTCATCTATTTTCAAGGTCACAGGGGTCAATATATGTTTAAATCTTTAAATGACTTGTACTGTATAACCAAAAGGTCCAGGGTAATGCTATTTTGCCAGAAGCATGCTTGGTTGGACGACTATAAACTCTGTTCAACCTTATGTCCTTGTTCGACATTCAAGGTCACAGGCATCATATGTTTAAATCTTTTAATAGGTTCTTATGAATCAAACACTGATATTCTGCCTGTTGCTGTATTTTAGTCCACTTTTAAGATAACAAGTGTGAGATTAATGCCAGGTGAGCGATGCAGGCCCATTGGGCCTCTTGTTTGTAGAACTTTGGTGGTTTTTTTTTTGCATCTCGTTAGCTAACTTGTTTATGTTCAGAGACAAAAGTTTATATCTATGTGTAAGAGAGAGACAAAATTAGGAAGGGGGCTTCATTGCAGGCACACATGACCCTGTTTCCAGTAGTTAATTGCATTGACACACATTTGATTTACAGTCCAATTCTGACATAGTAAGGGATATAATAACTCTAATTCAATCACAGTCTAAACTTATTGAAGCATATTTCCTTCAGATGTTGAGTCAGGTTGAAACTTTGCAATTCTTAATTTTCAGATTGGCACCAAAATTTCAGAAAATAAGAAACTGAAGCGCCACCTGGACTCCGTGAAGGTAGACAGAGATAGTATACTACAGGACTTTGACCACAGGTCGAATGAGTTAAAAAATCTTTGCAGTGAGCTGGACAACAGCAAGCAGCTACAAGATGTTCAGAATAGTCAGATAGGTACACTGACTGCAGAGAACAAATCACTTGCCCATCAGCTGGAAAGGGTGAAGCAGGAACTGACTGACAACCTCACACGTGAACCCATCATACAGGAACAGATGAGTGTGAGAAGATTAACTGTATTCTTATGTATATTTGTGGTAACATCCTCTCTGTCTTACTGTCCATCGTGATATATCCCTTGTGTTCTCTCCATCTTACTGTACATTCCTTGTGTCCTCTCCATCTTACTGTCCATCCCTCGTGTCCTCTCCGTCTTACTGTCCATCCCTCGTGTCCTCTCCGTCTTACTGTCGTTCCCTTGTGTCCTCTCTGTCTTACTGTCGTTCCCTCGTGTCATCTCTGTCTTACTGTCCATCCTTCATGTTCTCTTCCTCTAACTGTCCATCCCTCGTGTTCTCTCCGCCTTACTATCCGTCCCTCGTGTATTTTCTCTGTCTTACTGCCGTTCCCTTGTGTCCTCTCTGTCTTACTGCCCATCCTTTGTGTTCTCTCCCTCTTAATGTCCGTCCCTCGTGTCCTTTCCATCTTACTGTCCATCCCTCATGTTTTCTCTCTGTCTGACTGATCATCCCTCATGTCCTCCTTGTCTTCTTGTCCGTCCCTTGTGTCCTCTCCATCTTACTGTCCATCCCTCATGTCCTCCTTGTCTTCTTGTCCGTCCCTTGTGTCCTCTCCGTCTTACTGTCCGTCCTCATGTCATCTCAATCTCACTGTCAGTCCCTTGTGTATTCTCTCCGTCTTACTGTCGGGCCCTCGTGTCACCTCCATCTTACTGTCCATCCCTCATGTCCTCCTTGTCTTCTTGTCCGTCAATCTCATCATCTCAATCTCACTGTGAGTCCCTTGTGTCCTCTCCGTCTTACTGTGAGTCCCTCTTGTCCTCTCCATCTTACTGTCCATTACATGTGTCCTCTCTGTATTACTGTCCATCCCTCATGTCCTCCACATCTTACTCACTGTCCATCCCTCGTCTTCTCTCCATCTAACTGTCCATCCCTCGTCTTCTCTCCATCTAACTGTCCATCCCTCGTCTTCTCTCTGTCTTACTGTCCATCCCTTGTATCCTCCCCGTCTTCCTGTCCATTCCTCGTGTCCTCTCCATCTAACTGTCCATCCTTCATGTTCTCTCCATCTAAATGTCTGGCCCTCGTTGTCTTACTGTCCATCCCTTGTGTTCTCTCCGTCTTACTGTCCATCCCTCATGTTCTCTCCATCTTACTGTCCATCCCTCATGTTTTCTCTCTGTCTTACTGTCGTTCCCTTGTGTCCTCTGTCTTACTGTCCATCCTTTGTGTTCTCTCCCTCTTACTATCCGTCCCTCGTGTATTCTCTCTGTCTTACTGTCAGTCCCTCGTGTCCTCTCTTTCTTAGTGTCCGTCCCTCATGCCCTCTCAATCTTTCTGTCCATCCCTCATGTCCTCCTTGTCTTCCTGTCGAACCCTCGTGTCACCTCCATCTTACTGTCCATCCCTCATGTCCTCCTTGTCTTCCTGTCGAACCCTCGTGTCACCTCCATCTTACTGTCCATCCCTCATGTTTTCTCTCTGTCTTACTGTCGTTCCCTTGTGTCCTCTGTCTTCTCTGTCTTACTGTCCATCACATGTGACCTCTCTGTATTACTGTCCATCCCTCATGTCCTCCACATCTTACTCACTGTCCATCCCTCGTCTTCTCTCCATCTAACTGTCCATCCCTCGTCTTCTCCCTGTCTTACTGTCCATCCCTTGTATCCTCCCCTTGACCACTGTCCAGTTACCGTCTTCTCTCTGTCTTACTGTCCATCCCTTGTATCCTCCCCGTCCTACTGTCCATCCCTCGTCTTCTCTCTGTCTTACTGTCCATCACATGTGTCCTCTCTGTATTACTGTCCATCCCTCATGTCCTCCACATCTTACTCACTGTCCATCCCTCGTCTTCTCTCCATCTAACTGTCCATCCCTCGTCTTCTCTCTGTCTTACTGTCCATCCCTTGTATCCTCCCCGTCTTACTGTCCATCCCTCTTGTCCTCTCCATCTAACTGTCCATCCTTCATGTTCTCTCTGTCTTACTGTCAGGTAGCAGTGTACAGTAGAGGGTTGTGGCCATGGGTGATATTTTTGTTAAATGGCTAACCCCTGTATAATGATATATAAAAAAAAA